ATGACTAAACTGAAAAGCAGCTGACCCTAGGAGAAGGTAGGATGACCTTTCAGTTGTATTTGTGCTAAATGCTTACTTTGAATAACAGGGTTGGAGGAGACCTTGAAGGTCTTCTAGCCAACCTCCTGCTTAAGTAATAAACCCTATACCATTTTGAACAAATGGTCACAATCTCTTCTTAAAAACCTTCATGATAGAGCACCCACAACTTCTGTAGGCAAGGCATTCCACTGATTAATTGTTCCAATTGTCAGGAAATTTCTCCCTAGTTCTACGTTGGTTATCTCCTTGATTAGTTTCTATCCATTGCTTATTGTCCTGCACCACAATGTCAGGTGCTTTGGAGAATAGGTTGACACCCCTCTTCTTTGTGGCAGCCCCTGAGATATTGGAATACTGTTATCATGTCACCCCTAATCCTTCTTTCCATAGACTAGACATTCCCAATTCCTGCAATCGTTCTTCATATATTTTAGCCTCCAGTCCCCTAATCATCTTTGTTGCTCTTCTCTGCACTCTTTCTAGGGTCTCAACATCTTTTTTATATTGTGGTGACCCAAACTGGATGCAATATTTCAAGTGTGGTCTTATCAAAGCATTATAATGTAATTAAACCATTGCATACAGAATTATCCCAGTAGCATGGGCTCACAGAGCATAGTAAGTTATAAAACAGTACTGCCGGGTTTGTGTAACTAGCCATGTTTAGATGTGTTTGGCTTGTTTGTGGCTCTGGACATTGTGGGAAGCTACGTCTTTCCAACAAAAACTGTTAGGGATATAGGAGAAATGTTTTACCCCATTGTTTCTGATCACCTAAACAAAGGAGGAAATAAAAATAATGTGTCATTTCACAAAAGAAAGGATGAAAGTGTTTGGGGATAAAACAGCTTTAACAATTAAGATAAAATGCTCAGAAAAAAACTAGGATGATATAAAATAACAATGGGAAGAGCTACTGACTCTTTTATGTACAACACAATAAATGTATCCTTCTAATTAATAAATAAAACTGCAGAACTTAATTGCCTTTGGAAATTGGCCACCCTAGAAAAAACAGCCTGTTATGTGATCTTGTAGTGTACTTAACACTAGTTAACATATTTTGATTTCTGTTCATAAAAAGAAAAACACTTTTTATGATTGCAGAGAAAAAAAAATATAGAGAGGAACCAACTGAATCTCCAAGAGGCTTCTCACTAGACTAATGAACTATTCAATTCTCTTAGGGGAAGCTAAAATATCCACTACATATATTCAAACATCAACAAAGTTAATTATCTCATCCTCTATGGAATACAGAAAAGCCATGGCTAGAGCATTGTCCCATGCTTAATCTTATTTTGGGAAGTCACCTTAATCTTATTTTGGGAAGTCACCTTAATCTTATTTTGGGAAGTCAATATGTGCTAGAGGAAGCACATATTGGGGGGAGTGAGGAGATTTTAAAAGTTATAATTACTGCTGCCTTTTGAACTCCTTAGTTTTTTTAATTAACTAAACACACAAAAAGGAAAGCATATACATTATTTTATAAAATTATAAAGGAAAAAGGTTAAAAAGAAACAAATATATACATATGGTTATTGTACATATACATGTACATATGTTTATTTATATATGTATGCATGTCTGTGAAGAAGACATGAGGACATGCATACATATGTAAAGTTGTACAATAAACATTTCAATAAATGGAAATAATGCATGTTTTTATTCTATGTTCCCAGGAGAAGCTAGGCGAGGATAGTTAACAAGAAAAGACCAATCAACAATAATAGTTGTACTATCATTATTTTATAATGGTAATTGGTAATAATAACATTTGTCACAGATTTATCAGCATCAATCAAGTTTGAAAATAAAGAGGTAAAGATAAGAAGGCAGGGTATAGATATTATATACATGGTAAATTATGCCACATGTTAAATGATAAATAATAAAAATATCATCTGTGTATAGATCCCTTGAGTGGTTCTGTTAGAAGTGAGACCTTTTTTTACTTCTGAAGGATATAACAAAACCAAGTTTGATATAAGTTTGTCTTCGGTGTGTTGAGTTACTTTAAACAAACAGCTGGTAAAAATAGGTAAAAGCCTTAAAAAGCAGCAACCTGGAAGTACAACGTGTATTCAAGAAACTAAAATAGCCTGGCAGAGATCTGAACTTAGTGCCAGATGGAGCCAAGATATTATTATGGTTTATGCTGTTTATTTTTTCATTAAGCACATTGTCTTGCTGCGATTTTTTTTATCTGTTTTAAATTAATTCTAATTACCCGCAGGCATTTAGAAAGCCTGTGGTGCACTCCTTATTGAATTACTGTTCTTTCCATTAGAATTATTTGTTTTCCTTGTCAATGTCTCTTTTCCATTTTGGTCAGATTTGTCGCTTGAAACATCAGTGTAAAAATGTTCACACACAAACAAAGTTTTTGAAGTGATGAGAAGAAACAATCGTCTCCTTGGTTCTCTTTTACTTCGAAGATCCAGATCTTATATCTGTACCCAGAACTATTAACCTCTTCCTTCCTTTCCATTCTCCACATACGATTATTTAACTCATTTATTATTGTTTATCTGAGGAAGCATTCCTGTTGTTGGGGCAATGGAAAGAAAGGGACGAGAAAAAAGAAAAGCCTCTGTTGCCATAGCAGCCGTTTGGTCCAGCAATCGTCCGTCTGTGATTCCATTTGATGGAAAGGACCTGACTCTGCTCTACTGGCATTTGCCCAAGACAAATTCAAACTGACAGGCTCTTTAGGATCTGAATCATTTATAAAGCAGAGGCCACATGGGTGTGCATGTACGTGGGCATGTGTGAAGAGAAAAGGAAGGGAGGAAACATGGGTGGCACTAGGGACATGTGTTACAGGAAGAGCATGGATGAGGGAACCAGCAGGGTCTATTTTGCATGAACTTTCTTGTGTTCTTTCATCCATTCTAGCAAAGCCCTTGTTAGATTCCAGCTAGTCCTTCAAATCAAGGACTCTCATTCTATAACAGTGAGAAGAGCTCTGGAGAGCAAGGGGACCAAAGGGACAGAACACATGGCTGCCCTTTTCTTCCCTCAGCCCCACAAATGGGTTTGACCTGCATACATTAGTAGGTGAATTGTGCTTTTCTTCTTGCATGAAAAGCCACTTTCTGCTTTTGAGGCACAAGACCAAGCCTGCAAGCCTTTTCAGGCCATTAGAGCAACACTAAAAGATGCAAGGAAAAATGCTTAAGTGATGAATCTCTCCTTTATCTTTTTACCAATCAATGCCCTTCTCCTATGATGACAGGAAAACCAACCTTTTTCCTGACTCCTGTCATCTTTCTTCACTGAAGTTTGCCTTGAAAAGCAGTCAGATTCCACTCCAGCACTGTTCCAACTACTACAGGTGCAGGCAAAAGAAACGGAAAGGGGGAGAGTTGCATAGCAACCCCACTCAGGACAGACGAGCTGCCATCATTTTTTGCTTGGCAAGACCTTTAAAACAGGCACAATTCTCCCAGCATTGAAAAATACTATTGCAATAAAGGAGGTTGCTGCTGCTATATAAATTCAGCCACTGTTGTTTATAAACCATGGCTCATGGGTGTTATGTAATCCCAGCCAAGTGTGAGTCAACACATCATGGTTAAACAAACCATGGCATAATGTGCAAATCCACGCATCCAAATTTCTTTCTGTTAAGTAGAAGGAATATATTATTTAGGTAAGTGTTGTGTGAGATGCAGGTCAGCTGGGGCAGGCTAAAGCAAACAGTCAGCAGGGTCAGATAGAAAAGTGAACAGGAATCACCCACTCTCTCTTTTCTTCAAGTCACATCTTTCTCTGAAATCTATCTTTCCTTTTCTCCCTTCTCCCCCCTCCCCTCTCTCCAATGCTCTGTTTTTCTTTTGTTTACTCTCCATTCAGCAGTTTGCCAAGTGAGGGACCTTCTTACTAGGGATCTGAATTGCTTGTTTGAAAAGGCCTTGTCAATTCCTTTGAGGAAGCTTACGCTTTGCCCAAGAACCACATGCCAAATGAGGACTATAGGTTGCTCCCCCATTGGCTAAACACATTTGGGGGGGGGAGATGGAAATTCAAGAACAGGAATGTCCATTTGCCTTCTTTGGCCTATAAGGGTCATTTTCCCCAAATCAGATGTGTAGAATTGAGGCAGCAGGAAAGAGCCCACCTTGCTACTTAATTTTATCTCCTGCAAAGTATGACAATATATGTCCAGATACTTCAGTAAAAAAAAGATTTAGAGCCAATTAACATGATTGCATTAAGGCTACTATCACAGGTCAGTGGAAGACCTGGATAAGTAAAAAAAAAGTTTAATGACCAAAAAAAAAGTCCATTGGAAGAGGACCTGTCAAGACTCTTCAAACCAAAGGTAATCTTTGATAAACCTGGGTCTGAGCTGTAATAATTTCAGACTGCAAATTGTGGCCTATTCCCTTCCTTCTATTACAAAACACTAGTGTTTTGTACAGAGAGAAAGAGAATGTGTGTGGGGGTGTTTGCAAAGGAAACTGAAAACAAGGAGGGGATTAATATACATATGGAAATGCACTCTCAAACATATTTTTAAGAACAAAACAATTAAAGGAGAAGGAATGAGACAACACTAGCACTAAAAATTCCACTGTAAAATTCTTGCTGAATATCTTTTTATGTTAATGAGCTCTCTTCAACAGCACATTATCTAATTAATTGAACGCACATTTGCAAATTTGAAAATAATCCTAGGTCAGCATGGCCAAGGAGGATGGAAAGTATAACTCAAAAGATCCAGGGTATAATAAATCGGGAAAGGCTGTCAGAGAAGATCGAATGTATCCCTTCATGGGAATAAATTAAAACTGCTGAATGAACAAACAGCATCAGGTAACATTTGCCTTTGAAATATACAGTATGAGAATACTGATGTTAGGTTCCCGTCATTTACCAGAAATGAAAGAAAGGTGTAACAGAAGCATGCAAAATCCCTTAGAAAGAGCTAGAAAACTTTTTCCTACCTATGTTAGGATGTTTCAGAAGGCGGCAGATCCGAGCCTCTCGTTCTAGCTTCTGATGATCTGTCAGGAAAGACATTCACAAATCAGCATGGGAAAGAGAGAGATGCCCAGCGACAAATGTGATTTCCTTCTATTATTATCATCTTGGATTTAGAACATGCAAATTCAGTTAACAGTGAATAATATTTGAAATGGTATACAGCTCTTCACAATACAGAATCAGAAAGTGATTAGAAAGGTTAACATAGGATATAAACAACAACCATTAGAAGCGCCTACAAAAAGTAATCCAGAAAGATATCTGAGGGAATTAATGGATACACTGGTAATAGCATAGGATATCTCAAAGCTAAAAGTAGGTGCAGGAGATTGCAGGTGTGGAAATCAGTCAGCCCTTATAGCCCTCTGTTAAGTAATCCTCGAGTTGTATACTGTGAAGCAAGTCCACTGATTTCCATGAGATTGATTATTTAAAAGCTAAGCAAAGTCAGATATTACTTGAACTGGAAGACTATCAAGAAAGTTCAGGGATGTAAGCTCTGCTGGGAAGTTAAACAAGGAATTTTAGATGATGTTTCCATGAAAATTGACTCATTCCACTTGCCCTGAGGTACTTATAAACATACCTCAGCTTGTGTTGAGATGAGATAGGAGGAAGTTCACACAGCTATCAATCCTCCATTGTGCTGTAACTGTGCCTCAGTGCTTGGGGACCGAGTCTCACACCATAGCAGAGGTGACAAACATCAAAAGCTAAGCTGTGTATGAGTAAGAACATCACACTCCTGTCTTTATTGCTCTGCTTTTTAGGTGGTTTTTGTTGTTGTTGTTGTTATTAGCTTTTTAAATGTCTATTCCAACAGGTATATAGAAATAATCCATGAATTCTCTTTTTTTCTTTAAAAATCAGTTGCATGCCTGAAAAACGTTGTGCAAATGGATCTGAAATAGCTGAAAATCTTCCACTGGTCCTTTAGTGACTATATGTTATGTGTAAGAGAAATAAAACTGCCTAAACCAATGCTTTTTATGCCAGCAACTCTGTTGGCATTTTGGGAAGCTGCTAAAATCTGGCAATTAATGAAAACCTTTGAGAATTGGTAGGAGTTTGAGTTTCCATCCTGCAGAAGTTATTAATATTATGGAGAATGGTTTTGCTCACTGTAATTATCAATAATAAATTATTATGCTTAACATGATTTGGCTGGTTTGTGGTCATTCTGTTATTGTTTTTACGGTATTGTACTCTTGGAATCTTTTATCAGCATGAGCAGTGTACTCTATATATTGCAGGAAATATTTATATAAGTATGAGATGGCAGCAGTCCTTCCAAGTTTACTAGGAATATTTTTGATCAATTTGTCATTGACGACCATCAGAATACATGGTATTTTATATTAAAATGGGTCTACTCAGGCAACTTTTAATTTAGAATTTAGTAGAGGATAATGACCACAATGCAGAAGGGAAATAAAAGTGACTAAAAGCAAGTATGTTTAGTCCAAGTACACATTAGTGTAAGGGGCAAAATCGTTTACTATACCATGATGAAGAGGAGGAAGGTGGCAGAGGTTTCTTTAATCTTTCTCCTTTCAAAAAGTCTAAAACAATGGGCTATAAAAAAGTCTACCTAACAGAAAATTTGTAACAATTTTTTTCTCAATTTTATGCCTTAGTAGAGAGTTTAGCCTGGTGCCGTGATGGCGAACCTATGGCACGCGTGCCAGAGGTGACACACAATGCCCTCTCTGTGGGCACGGGAGCCATCACCCTAGTTCAGCTCTGCCACATGTGCCTCCCACCGGCCAGCTGGTCTTTGGGTCTCTGCCACGTATGCGCGGGGGGCGAGACACATGCAGGGGAGACCTGTGTGCATGAGTGAGGGTAGGGCATGTGTGGGGGTGTGCACACATGCACAGGGGGTGGGGTACATGGGGCATGCATGCATGCATGGGGCACATGGGGGTGCACATGCATGCGTGGGGGCAGGGCACATGCAGGGGGATGCATGCGTACACAGGGATGGGGCGCATGTGGGGGATGTGCATGTGCAGGGGGCTGAGTATGCATGTGGGGGGCATGCACAGGGGCTGTGCATGCATTGCATTTTGGGGGTTCGGGTGCGTGCACGCGCATTCCCACTTTGGACACTCGGTCCAGAAAAGGTTAGCCATCACTGCCCTAGTGGTTAATGTGCAAGAATAGAAATAGGATGACCATGAGTTCTAGTTCTAGTCCCACCCAGCCAGTCTCTCTTTCTCAGCTCTAGGAAGGAGGCAATGGCAAACCACTTCTGAAAAACCTTGTCAAGAAAACTGCAGGGACTAATCCAGGCAATCGTCAGGAGCCAACACTGATTTAAAGATACAAAATAACAGGATTATTATTATTAAATTTATATGCCCCACATGTCACAGTTCAAGGTGGGAAGATAAACACAATATCAGAAAAACATAAAGCCAACTTACCAGTTTACACTATTACTAGGTGGTAATAAGAAAGCTGTGATTTTAAATTGTGTCTATTGCCTGTAGGATGGTTTACCAAAATGGATTTAGAGTTACCATTGTAATACAAAATGACATAAAAATGAACTATTGAGATTGAACCTGAGGTATTTGGCTCAGCTAGATTTCACTCATATATTAAATATGTCCAAACTATAGTTTCTAATACGTTATGGAACAATGTAGAAGAAATAGCAATAGCATGTAGACTTATATACTGCTTTATCGTGCTTTACAGCCCTCTCTAAGCGGTTTACAGAGTAAGTATATTTTCCCCAACAATTTGGATGCTCATTTTACCCATCTCGGAAGGATGGAAAGCTGAGTCAACCCTGAGCCTGTTGAGATTTGAACTGCCAAATCGCAGTCAGCTGGCACTAAGCATAAATCGCCTGCAGTACTGCACTCTAACCACTCCGCCACCTTGGCTCAAATAGTTGTTTCTGAAGATCTTTCCTCCTGGTCTTGCTCGTAACTTTGCTATAGGGTTTTATAATTGTTGACATTTTAATTGGTGCTTCTGTAAATTAACTCCGTAACTGGAAGGTAATTGCTGAAAGCAATTACATTTTTTTTCCTAGTGGATGGAAGAACTCCCACCCCCTAGCCCACCCCCAGCGCGCCTGCATGTTGCTCTGCATACATTCAGAGGAAAAGTAGCAATAAGAGTTTGAGTGTAGCCTTGGTGGCCATCAGTTAATTGTAACACGCACAGCAGTGCTTCTGTTCCTCTACAAGTGGTTTTTCGCCTTTGCTGCCAGAAGAAAAGAAATTTTAAAAACAGTGCTGGTAAAAGAAATGAATGCATAATTAGAATGGAAAACTTTTTTTCTGGATCAATTTAAATTACCTTTTTCTTTTAAGGACGTGACCTTGTGTATTTTTTTGCCTACTTTCATAAGTAAGGAATAAACTTGTTCTCCTTATTAACTAGTATAAACAAACATGGTGTGAGCAGAGAACACAACAAAAACTTGATCTAAAGGTGAGCAAAGGAATTTCTAAGAGATGGGTTTTAATTTTTATTCAGAACAGAAGTCTCAGACATTTAAATCCTTTAAGAATCCAGTTACTATCCAAGCTGGTCTTTCCCTCAATAACTGAGGTTGTCCAGGCAATATTCATTTAAAATAAAGAAGAAGGAGGAGGAGGAGGAGGAGGAGGAGGAGGAAGAAGAAGAAGAAGAAGAAGAAGAAGAAGAAGAAGAAGAAGAAGAAAGAAGAAGAAGAAGAAGAAGAAGAAGAAGAGGAGGAGGAGGAGGAGGAGGAGGAGGAGGAGGAGGAGGAGGAGGAGGAGGAGGAGGAGGAGGAGGAGGAGGAGGAGGAGGAGGAGCCACAGTGGTGCAGTGGTTAGAGTACAGTACTGCAAGCTACTTCTGCTGATCACCGGCTGCCAGCAATTTGGCAGATCGAATCTTACCAGGCTCAAGGTTGACTCAGCCTTCCATCCTTCCGAGGTGGGTAAAATGAGGACCCATGTTGACTCTGTAAACCGCTTAAAGAGGGCTGGAAAGCACTATGAAGTGGTATATAAGTCTAAGTGTTATTGCTATTGCTACAATGTAAAAGAATAAAAGTGCTAGCAGTAATACCTAATAAAAAACAAGATAAAACCAGCAGCAAACCCAAAAGGAACACAGGATGTCCACTCAAATCATGTTAAGTACAGTGTCAGTTCAGCTACTGTGGTTTATTCTTTATGGCTTGAGTCAGCCCTCTGAGTTTATGAATTAATGGAAATTTTGGGCTGTCAGCATCAATTGTAACTTAGTACAAAACGGAGGCATTGTTTTCCTCCTTCTGTTATTGACAGACAAACAAATTTTCAACTCTGAGCTCCTTGGAATTGCATTAGCAACATCACTGTAAAATATAGACATTTGCTTCTTTACGTTGTATAATGTGATAGTTTGTGCATGTGTCTTTGCAATTTGTTGGCTGCTTGGCATATTCAATGCATTTCCTGGGAGCATAATATTCCTCCTTTAAATATTTATGAACATTGCAATAGCGAACATATGTATAGCTCAGTGTTTCATGCTGTGTTATTAATGTTCTCTAAGCTACATTTTGGGGTTGCACAGCAATGGCAATGGCAATAGCACTTAGACTTATATACCACTTCGCAGTGCTTTCCAGCCCTTTCTAAGCAGTTTACAGAGTCAGCATATTGCCCTCAACAGTCTGGGTCTTCATTTTACCAACCTTGGAAGGATGGAAGGCTGAATCAACCTTGAGCCGGTGAGATTTGAACTGCCGAACTACAGCTAGCAGTCAGCTGAAGTAGCCTGCAGTGCTGCACTCTAACCACTGTACCACCTCGGCTCTCACAGACTGTAATACAGACTGTATTACGTAATATCACCAATGCAGGAGACAGGCGAAGTGAATGGGATTTATGATTTAGGCATGTCAATTGACACCAGTATTATTCTGTCATTACCTCAACAAGGGTAGAAAAATAGGGCCAATGTCAGCCTGTACAAAGAGTTAGCTATTCAAGGGTGTGAGGTCCCATAGTGTGAACTGCAATCTGAGGGCAGTGCTTCAAAA